ACAAGACAGCCTTAATAAATTAGTATAATACTATTAGAAGGGACGGCTTTTTAAATTTCCCAGGGAAGGAGCTTGTCAGGCTGCACGTAGGACGATGCTCCTGAGAAACAACAAATGCCGTCCCTATAGCTCTGATGTAAAATTATAAAATAGAAATCTGGTAGGGTTTGTTTCGTTTAAAAAGGAAAAGCCCTGGAGAGGCGGGCGGTCCCGTGCAGTCCTGTTAGCTTTGCCCATCGGGTCTGCCCACAGAGTTCCCTCCTGGAGGCTGGATCTGGATGGAGTCCAAGAAGGGCCGAAGTGCTTGTCCAAAGGGCCTGTGAAGAAACAGACATGAGCTAGGAGGGTTTTGAAGTGAAGCCTACCCACAGATAGAATGGTAGCCATAAAGGATGGTCATGGTAGTACTGGCTTTCTTGTTTGTTTTCATTTGAGGGTCTTTCTGTAGTGTTCACTGTTCTACATAGACCAGGCTGGCCTTGAACTCACAGAAATCTGCCTGTCTCTGTCTTCTAAGTGCTAGAGTTAAAGGCATGTACCACCACTCCCAGCCTTTTTCTATTTTTTTTTTTTTAAAGATTTATTTATTTATTATGTATACAATGTTCTGCCTGCATGCCAGAAGAGGGCACCAGATCTCACTATAGATGGTTGTGAACCACCATGTGGTTGCTGGGAATTGAACTCATGACCTCTGGAAGAGCAGACAGTGCTCTTAACCTCTGAGCCACCTCTCCAGGCCCCCAGCCTCTTCTTTTTAAATATATATATAATATATAATATTATACTTATTATATATATTAGATTTTTCTTTTTTTTTTTTTTTTTTCGAGACAGGGTTTCTCTGTGTAGCCCTTGCTATCCTGGACTCGCTTTGTAGACCAGGCTGGCTTCGAACTCACAGAGAGGCCTGCCTTTGCCTCTTGAGTGCTGGGTTTAAAGGTATATGCTGGACCTACCCCACCTCTCTACCCACCCACGCTTGTGTGCCTGCTTCTTTTCTCCCATCAAGGCCACTGTGGACTGCCCAAACATTCTTGGATGTGTCGCTTTCCACTGGATCATGGCAGACATATTAGGTGTACACTCTTGGAGAAAACTGACCCACTCTCTTCCAGCAGCTAACAACTGCCAGTAGTTCCTTGGGTAGGGGAGGGATTTCATGCCCAATTCCCCTTTCCATGTTGGGCTTTGGTCTGGCTTGGGCTTGCACAAGTCTCGTCCATGCTGTCACAACCGCTGTTGAGATGTTCAGTTGCTTTGAGGTATCCAGGAGACACTTCCTTGTAAGCCATCCCCTGCCCTCTGGCCTCTCAACTCTTTCTGCCCCTCTTCTGCAATGGCTCCTGAACCTTGGGAGGAGGTGTACTATATAAGTTCCATTTAGGGCAGAGGATTCTCTAGTCTCTTACTTGGTCTGTTGTGGGTTTCTTGTTAATCAGCATCTACCACCACAGTTTAGATGGTTGTTGTAGGAGGGTTATGGTTTAGTAGGTGTTTCCCAAGGTCCATGTGTTAATAGACTTGGTTCTCAGCCTATGAAACTCATCACGGTGGGCCTATTGGGAGGTCTTCTGGTCACTGGGGACATGCCCTTGAAGGAGACAGTGGAACCTTAGTCCCTTCTCCTCTTTACTTCCTGGACACCACAAGTAAGCAGCTCTGCTCTACCACAGGTGACCACCATGAGTTTCTTTATCATAAGCTCAAAGGTAACAGTGTCAGGTGGCCAGGGATTGAAACTTCTGGCAGTGTGCCAACTAAAGTCTTACTCTTCAGAAACTGAGTATCTCAGGCTTCCGCTCCAGGAGCCAAAAGCCGACTAACAATCTTCCAAATAGTCTGTTTTATGGATTTCCTCCTGTGCCCCTCCTCTGTGTGGGAACCACCATCTTCTTACTGAACCTGCAAGGCCGGTTGGGTCCCTGTGGGGTCGTGGTTAAACAGGCTGGCCTCCCACAGGCAGCTAGAGCTCTCTGTACTTGTGTCCTGTGTTGAAGGGCTTTAAGACAGGTCTCATGTAGCCTAGGCTGGCCTCACGCTTCTTGTCCAGCTGAGGCTGGCCTTGAACTCCGATCTTTTCTGCCTCCACCTTCCAAGTGCTGGGATTACAGGATGCACCAAAACACCCAGCTTACTTGTATCTTCAATTCTTTTGAAGAAGATAAAAATAAAGTTGAAGTTGAGGTAAAAAGGCGGAAGCTGAGGCAAAAGCAAAAGGAAGTCAGGATGATGAAGCTGGGAGTGAGGATGTTACAAAATTAAGATTCCTCCAGAAAACGAACTGTTTGAGCGCAGGGTATACCCTGGGAAGGCTGCCGGGTGTTGGTGTCACTGTCTAAAGATCACCTGGTTTCTCCCTGTAATAGCTTAGCTGGAGAATCACTGTGAAAACTCTGGAGGCTTTTCAAGGTTACTGTATCCTTAAATAAAGCGGTCTCATGCTGGGCATGGTGGTCAAAGTCTTTAAACGGGCCCTCAGAAAGCAGGGACCAGTATAGGTTATGTAGTGAGTTCTAGCCCAGTTGGGCTACATAGTGAGACCCTGTCTCAAAAAAATAAGTGGCTCAGGACATACTATGGGCACAGGCTTTACTCAGAGGCTGCTGTCTACCCCCACTCTTCGTTTTTCTTACTAAATATGTAGCCCAACCTGGCCTCAGACTCACTATGTAGCTCAAGCTGGTCCCAAATTAACTGTGATCCTCTTGCCTCAGCCACACAACTTTGGGTATTCTCAGGGTGCACCACTGTGCCTAGCTGTCATCCCTCAGAGCCAGGTGTGGTAGCCCACGCCTGGAATCCCAGCACTCTGGGAAGCAGAGGCAGGCGGAGTTCCAGGCCAGCCTGGTCTGGTCTACAGATTAACCCCAGGACAAGGCTACACTGTGAAATCCTATCTCAAAAACCCAACCCAACCCAACCCAAACCAAAACAACAACAACAAAAACGCCTTAGATCAAGAGAGTAAGGTACTTGTAATCTGCTCTGTTACATATCAGCCCTAATTTAGACAAACGCCAGAACCTCACACATTAAGAAGGAAGGACAGGGGGCTGGAGTGATGGCTTAGAGGTTAACCGCACTGGCTGCTCTTCCAGAGGTCCTGAGTTCAATTCCCAGCAACCACATGGTGGCTCATAACCATCTATAATGAGATCTGGTGCCCTCTTCTGGTGTGCAGGTGTACATGCAGAAAGAACATTGTATACCTAATAAATAAGTAAGTCTAAAAAAATAAAGAACAGGAGCATATGGCTACTCAGAGGTGCTCCGGGTCTTGCGACCTAGTCTTGGCAAGTTCTGGGGTCTCCCACATCTATCTGGAAGAAGGCAGTCCCAGGCTTGGGTGACCACGCCTCTTAGCCTTTTCTTTTTGTTTTGTTTTTTTCAAGACAGGGTTTCTCTGTGTAGCCTTGGCTGTCCTTGATTTGTAGACCAGGCTGGCCTTGAACTCACAGCAATCTGCCTGCCTCTGCCTCCCTTTAGTCTGGGATTAAAGGCAGCTGCCACCGTGCCTGACAGCAGCCTTGTTTTCTATGCAGTTTCTAAAATAAAACTGAGGAGTTTATCTGCCCGGATCCCTGCTGGTCAGGACCCTACCCAATTCAGAAGAAAAAAAAAGTCAGAGGCAACAAATGTGCTAGAGTAGGCAGAGGTATCTTGATACAATCAGAAATGGGAGTGAGTAATATGGCTTTGGGGAGTATCTGTCCTTTCAGGAGATGACATATGGGTGATGGCCCACAGGCCCTTCCCAAGGCTGGACCCCATCAGGGGCAGAGGAAACCTCTACTGAAGGCTGTCCGTGCACTGTGCGTTCAAGGTCAAGCAGAACTTCCACTTGGGTGTGGCTGACAAGGACAAACCACAGTTAAGAACTGGGCTGTCCTGTTACTCCAGATTCTCCATCTGTGGAAGCCCTTCTGGGAAATAGCTTTGTGTATTAGATACTGGGGTTTATGTAAATACTAAAGCTAGCATCAAGTGGGTTTCTAGATTTTGTGCTGGCACTTACAGCCAGCTCCAAGGAGGCTGGAGGTTAGACCAGTGCACACTGGTGGGTGGAAACAATGGTGGCCTTCTGTGGTGGAACCAGTCACTGACAGGTCCGACAGGCGGGGAGGATTCCGCTGCCATAGGGCAGGCACACTTGGCTCAGGCTCATCTCCGGGGGCTGAGGACACACCCTGATCCTCCTGACTGCCTCAACTGGGGATTTGCAGAGTTGGAAAGGGGCAGAAACAGGGCGGTCACACTTACGTGGACAGGACTTCGGAGGGCAGGTCTGTTATGTAGGAAGGGATCTTCCGTCCAGTCAGGAACTGGGCCACTTCGTTGCTAAAGGTGTTACAGTTGTGTTCAAAGAGGTTGTAGGCTTCTCCTCTGTCCATGGAAGAAAGGTTTGGAGAGTGGATGAGAAAGACCGCAGCATCTACATGAAGGGACTGTCACTGTATTGTAAGTGGGAAGGTGGGCAGGGCCTTATGTGAGGACTGTGACCGGTCCTCTCAAACAGTCCAGAAGGACTGCTGTCTGCAGATCTGGACCTCTGAGAAGTGATTCACAAGGAAAAGATGAACCAAAAATACATGCTTTCTACATAGTTCCAGACTCTTTACACTCACAAATGTAGGGCTAGCACCAGAGGTGAACCCTTGATGAAACTGACTTTAAAAATGTTTATTTCATGTATGAGGGTTTGCATGAATGAATGTGTCCCACGTGTGCACCTACCTGCCTGGGAAGGCCAGAAGACAGGGTCGTTTTTGCAGTTACAGGCTGTTGTGTGGCTCTTGGAAACTGAGCCCAGGCCTTAGCCTCTAAGATAACACTCCACAAATGTTCTTATCCTTTAAGCCATCCTGAGTCCCTCCTCAATTTTTCTTTTTACATTTATTTTGTGTGTATGTGTGTGGGAACATAGATAAAGTTAGAGGACAGTGTGCGATAGCAGGTTCTGTCCTTCCAGTGTGGCAAGGCTTCAGGGACCACACTCAGGCTGTCTGGCTCTATGGCAAATGTCTTTACCAGGCTTTGACTCAAGTTTTTTTTTTTTTTTTCCTTTTCTTTTCTTTTGAGACAGAGTCTCTAGCTCAGGTTCATGTTTCACTTCACATGCAGCCAGGGATGAATTCAAACTTCTAATGTTCCTGCCTCTACTTCCTGAGTGCAACGACTGAAAGCATGTACCAACAAACCTGTTTAAGTTTCTGTGGTGTAGAGGGATTGAACCTAAGGCTTTGTGCATAATGGGGAACACACTATATCAACTGAGCTACATTCTCAGCCTGACTAAAGATTTCAAGATAAATTAATTCAAGTTGGTATCCTATCCCTACCACCATCCCCATTTTCCATGTTTAGGAAGAGCCACTTAGCCAGAGGATGTGAAGAACAGTATTTACTGATCCCAATCAGAAGGAATGAGGAGCCTTTCTTTCTTCTAAAAAAGCTGGGATGCAGTGTTGGCTGCTGTAGACACTTAGGCTTTTTCTGTAGTACAACAACTGCTTTCTCTTCATGATAGCAAAGACCAGTCAGGCTGGAGCTGGAGGTTGGAGCTGGCTATGCTGGTCCTGCCTTGCAGGGTTTGGCTGGTATAGTCATGGAGCACACAAGCGGCCACCACCCTGTCCTTACTCACCGGAACAGAGACTCCCCTAAGGAGGACAGGTATTCCAGAAAGATCTCTTCTGTGACTTCTGTGCACCCCACATCAACCACAGTGTCTGGGGGCCCAAGCAATGTCCCTCCCTGAAAGAGTCAACCCAAGAAAGTCACTCAGTCATCATCGCTATTGTTTTTGCTTCTTCTTGGCTGTTCTGGGGACCAAACCCAGGGCCTTTCGTAGTGCTCTATCGCTGAGACCCTCAGCATCCTCTGTTAACATTTTATTTGCGAAGGGATCTTGTAAACTCCAGGCTATCTTCCCCATCTGTTAAGTTACTAATATTTCTAGAAAGTCTTAATATATAACCCTGAACGGCCTCGAATTCACAAAGATCCACCTGCCTTTGCATCTCAAGTGCTGGGATTAAAGGTGTTTACCACTGCACCAGGCTTGAAAGAAAATTGTTTACTGTGACTTCGTACACAAAAATATAAAAACTCTGTTCCCCAGCTTCGTTTTTTAACTGCTGGAACACTCTTGTTCCAGGAAGAGGGCTATTTCCTGTTTGTATCAAGGTTAGTGAGTTTAGGATTGGGCTTCTAGTTGCCTGTGAGGCCTGGAAGTTGGTTCCTGTGTAGGTTTCTACACTGTCCATTCATTTCTTTTTAAAAAGGTGGAACCCTAGGTGAGTGTGGTGGTGCAGGTCTTTATTCCCAGCACTATGGAGGCAGAGTCAGGCAGATCTCTGAGTTTGAGGCCAGTCTCAGCTACATGGTGGGCTCCAGGACAGCCAAGGCTGCACAGAAAGACCCTGTCTCAAAAAATACCAACAACCAAAAGACAGAAACCTGGAACCTCTGGTCTCCTTTTGTCCCCAACAGATGATCACAAGGACAGAACATGACAGCTGGGTTGCCACAGGAGCGTAAAGGAGTAGGAACAGTAGCCAAAGGGCCAGCAATAGGACATCAAGGAGGGTAGACTTGGGAAAATAGAACACTCCTGAACAGAGCTTGCCTGTAAAAGCCATTGATTGACAGCCCCTGAGCATTTCCCTTCAGGCTGACATTGTTCTGAGCATTGGTGAAGGCATGGTGAGCAATAATTATGGTAGCCAGAGGAAAATTACCTAACGTTCCAAAGAAGAAGAGGTCACTATTGCAACTCCTATTGTTCAGGCACATGATAAACTGTATTGAGAACTTACATGCTACCTCTAATGCCAGACACCGGGAGTTCAATGTATGCAAAACATGAGATTTCTGTCCTCATGGGACCTAAAGTTTATTAGGGAAGGTAGGTAAAAAAGTCTGTACACCAGTAGATCACGTCAAACTGACCCAGGAGCTGTACTAGAAAAGAGCAGAATGCCATTTGTAGGTCCCTGTGGCAGAGGAGGGCCAGGCTGAGATCTGCCTGAGGAAACTGACACCCACTCGCACCTGAAGGATCCAGAGGCACATCCAGGTGAAGGATTAGGGAGCTATGCTAGGTTAGAGTATAGGTTAAATGCCCAAGCAGGAAAGGGCAGAGGTGGGGAAGACACACCACAAAAGACACACCACGAAAGAGGATGGCTAGAGGGGGAGCCAGAGACAAGATCAAAGAGCTCATAGGACACCTTCTGAGCCTTCTGGCTAAAATTCCTTAAAAAAAAAAAAAAAAAAAAACAAAACCAAAAGCAGTAACAAAAAACCTTTCTGTCTCCTACATAGAGGACAGAGGGGAGCTCAGGCAAGCTTCATAGGTCCAGCCTACACAGGAAGTGCTCAAGCCTGAAGTGAAAGCTCTGGAGGAATGGGAAGAGACGGATAGACACACTGACAGCGTAGAATTGACCAGGTTTTTTGGGTACAAACACGCCTGTGGGAGGTAAAGACAACGGGCATCAGGAGGCCCCAGGTTCTCTTCAGTGGCACAGTGGTCTTGAGGCCAGCCTCAGCCATGAGAGGCCTTTTAATCTCAAAAGGCAAACACAAAAAGAAGTGACCAGGCTTAACGAAAGACTTGTAGGGTGGCCACTGGAAAAAAAAATCAAGAATGACTTCCTACTTATATCAAACTGAATGGCTGGTTTTTGCTTGAGCACCATGACAATCCTGGGATGGCTCTGAGAGAAATGTTCTGAAAAGAATCAGAAAGATCACACGAGAAGAGGGGCCCACAGCCCACAGGGGCAGGCTGCTGACTGGGTGGTAACTGGCATACGTGTGACTGAATGAGTCTTCCTGTTTCTCTTCATGTCTCCCCACGCACAGTGCTGAGGAGAAATTGAAGTCCAAGTGGGCAGTGGATCCCTTGGAACTACAGTTATAGGTTGTCATTAGCTACCATAAGAATCAAACCTAGGTCTTCTGGCAGAGCAGCCAGGGTTCTTTGACCGTTGAACAATCTCTCCCCAAGCCCTGTTTCATTACGCTATTATGAGCATGCGCAGACGGGTGAGGCTCTGCTCAGAGGAGAGTTATGGGATGGTTCTCTGCTTCTACTGTGTATGTTCTAAAGATTGAACTTGGGCTGTCAGGTTTGGTGGCAAGCTCCCTACATGCCTAGCCATGTCTGTGTCATCACACTAGTTCTTCTTAGGAGTGCCTTTATGAGAGAGGGTCTCATGTAGCTCAGGCCAGCCTTGAACTCAATAGGTAGCCAAGAAAGGCGAACTCAAAATCTTCCTGCCTCTACCCACAAGCACTAGGATTATAAAACTGCTTAGCTTAAGTCTTTTCTTTCTGGGATGTTCTGTATAGACCAGGCTGGGACTCATCCACTTCTGCTTCCCAAGTGCTGGGATTAAAGGCTTGTGCAGGGCACCAACACGCCTGGCTCAAGCACTGTATGAGGAACTGCCATAGGCCAGAGGCACACGTACAAGCCAAACCTCTCAGGCTCTAGGAACCCCCCAGAAATCTGCAGGTACGGGGGAGACACTCACCGGGGGACAGCTGGAAATACCGCCGCTGCCGAAGAAGAACTCATCCTTGTGTACAACTATAGAGGTGTGCCTGCCGCAGAGAGGGACAGTGAGCTTACAACTTCCCCAAGAGAAAGCAAGTCCCATACTGCAGTGGGAGTAACTCCTGCCCCGAGATGTCACCAAGGGAGCCAATTTTATTTTCTAGCCAGATGAAGACATGAGTAAGAAGACATGTTCAGTCCCTCTCAATCTGGGATGATTGTCCCCGCCCTCATACCCAAATTCACAGATGCACAAGTCCCTTTTCTAAAACGGAATAGGTCATACTCAGAAGCTATATGCACCCTTAAGTAGACTGAACCATTTAAAGATGACATATAATACGTAACACAATTCAAATGCCATAGTCATTGCACTGTACTGCTCAGGGAATAATAACTAATGAGTCTGTATGCTTAGGACAAGCACGTTTACTTTTCAAGACAGGGTTTCTCTGTGTAGCCCTGGTTGTCCTAGACTCACTTTGTAGACCAGGCTGGCCTAGAACTTACAGAGATTTGCCTGCTTCTGCCTCCTGAGTGCTGGGATTATAGGCATGCACCGCCATGCCCAGCTATTCCTCCCCCCTCTCCCCCCCAGAAATAGTCTCACTATGTAGCCTTGGTAGGCCTGGAGCTTCCTGTGTAGACAAGACTGGCCTCTATCTCAGAGACCTTTTCTCTTGGGGGCTGGGATTAAAGGTGTATGCTGCCACTCCCAGCTAACACTCAGGATTTGACCCTGCTTACAGGAGCTAACTTATGCACAGAATTGATGGCACAGCCCAGAGAGGGCTGACAGCACCACAGATGTCCTCTGCCGAGCACTGCCTTTGGGAGTAGATGATTACTGTGGGGAGCACTAGTGGAAGCAAGTAGGTGACAGCAGCTTCCTCCCTGGAGTTGTGACAAAAAATGTCTCCAGACTCGGCCAATGTCTTGTGAGGTGGAGGGGCAAAACCAGATCCACAGAGAACTGGTGTTTTAGGATAGGGGTAACTGGGGGCTGGAGAGATGGCTCAGCAGTTAAGAGCACCGCCTGCTCTTCTGGACCCAGGTTCAATTCCCAGCACCCGCATGGTGGCTCACAACCATCCGGGGATCTGATGCCCACTTCTGCCCTCTGAGGCATCAAGCACACACACAGTGCACAGACATACACATAAAAATGGAAATTGGGCTGGGCAGTGGTAGCACACACCTTTGATCCCAGCACTCAGGAGGCAGAGGCAGGCGGATCTCTGTGAGTTCGAGGCCAGCCTGATCTAAAGAGGGAGTTCCAGGTCAAAACAAACAAACAAAAGAAGGATATGGGAAATAAACGAGGAAGAGCCAGGCTTAAAGCTGGGAGCTGCGGAGACTTACCAGATGCCTTCCAGTTGTTTCCCTGTGGAGAAAAGGAGAGGGTTAGTCATTTGGGACAAGACTCAGTGGCCCCCTCAGCCTGAGTAAATTTAGAACTCATTCAAACCAGGAGAAAACTTAGAAAACCTCCCAGAGGACTTTCTAGAACCCCAGCTCTCCTCTATGGCAGTCCTCTGGCTGTGACGAGGATGCACCATTTCGCTTTATCAGGCAGCAACATAAAAACGCTGACATAAATGTTCACTTCTGTTCTCATTTCCCATCTGGGTTCAATCAACTCCATCTTTTTAACTTCTCTGTGTCATCTGCAGCACACCCACAGCAGAGCCCCGGAAGATGTCAGCCACTTCTCCACGAGGGTGCAATTCTTCAGAAAGCAAGGCTGCCAAACTAAGTGCTGTGTTTTAGAAGGCAATGCACCTGTACCTGGCGAATAAATCCAGGTGTATGAGCCATTCTGAGCACATGCTCTCCACTGACCTACTCTCAGGGACTATTAGTCAATTCCTCTGCCTACCAGCGATGTCAGGTGTCAAAATACAGACACAGGTTATCCTATCTTCAGAAGCTCAAAAATCAAGTGGAAAGAGACACACATATGAATAATTAATTAAAACACAGTGCTGAGTTAAAGATAAAGAACTACCTTCATGAGCTTGAATTCAACCGGTGAAGGAGCGAGCAGGGGCAAAGCTGGGCATATCTGCCAGAGAGGACAGTCCTTGAAAATACATGAAGACTAAGGGCAGAGAGCAGGAGTGGTGATGGTACTAGGAGCAGCCAGCAGGCCTGTGGCAAGGCAGGGTGGCCTGGGCTGGGTAGGACAGTGCTGTGATCAGACACACTTTTTAAAAATAATTTTCACATATGTTTATTTACTTATTTAGAGAGAGAGTGTGTGTGGGTGTGGGTGTGCGCGCATGTGTGTGTATATGCCTTGGTGTACACATGGAGGTCAGAGGACAGTTTGCAAGAGTTCATTCTCCGATTTCCCCATGCAAGCGCTGGCCATCCAGCTCAGGTTGTTAGGCTTGCCACCACGCATCTTTACCCACTGAGCCATCTTCTGACCCAAATGTAAGACTAGCATTCTATTTTTATTTTCTTGTCATGCTGGGGATCAACTTTAGGGCCTTGTGCATGCTAGGCAAGCACTCTCCCCGAGCCACGTTAGCCTTGTTTAATTTTGTTTGAAGCAACTTAACTAGCTCAGGCTGGCCTCGAACTCAAAGCAATCCTCCTAGCTCCAATTCTGATGTTGAGATAAGCATGTGTCATGTCATCTAAACCTAGACACTCCGCCCACCACGTGTGTGGAGGCCAGAGGTTGACATATGTTTCTCAGTCACTCTCCATCTTGTTTTTGACACAGTCTCTTAATGAACCTGGCATCCCTGATTCAGGTAGGCTGGCTAGCCATAAAGGCCCAGGAATCCTCCTGGTCTCCACTTCAGGGCTGGGGCTACAAGTGTGTACCACAACACTTGGCACTTGCTGCTCCTCTTCCGGAGTACTTGTTTGGTCCCCAGCACTCACACTGGGGGCAGGGTGAACTTATCTACCTGTAACTCTAGCTCCAGGGGATCCAATGCCCTTTTCTGGCCTCTGAAGCACCTGTACACAACCACAACACAGACACACACAATTACATCTAAGTAAAAATCTTTAAAAACATGCTGTGTACGGGTCAGCAAGATGACTCAGTCAGTGGGAATGGCACTTGACACCATGTCTGATGACTTCAATCCAATTCCTGGGCCCCATGTGGTAGAAGGAAAGGACCAACTCCCGGAAGTTGTCTTCTGATCCTCCACATACATGCTACAACACTTACAGACACACTAAACGTGATTAAACTTAAAGGCTACAGGCTCAAAGTGACTTCGAGACCAGCCTGGACTATAAAGTGGTGGTGAGATGTGGTGCAGAGGATGAACTGAGAGAAGGGGTGAGGAGCAGCTCAGAGGCCACGGAAAACCCTACGGGAGACAATACAAGCAGGGAGACAATACAAGCAGCGTCTGGAAGGGTAAGGAAGGAGGGAGGGGCTAGGAATGCGGTGAGCCTCACTCACTCTCCAAGGCTGTCAGTTCAAAGGCTTAGTGACTGCTAAGGTCTCCCTCATCTGCTCTAGGACAAAATCCAGTGTTGCACGGAAGGAGAGCGGCATGCTTGCACTTCCCCCGTGTTATTTACACACCATTTCCTTTTCTAGGTAAATGAAAGACTTCCAAATATGTACTTCAACTCTTTTTTTTTTTTTAGATAGGGTCTTTCTATGCTGGGATTAAAACCATGTGCCACCATGTCCACATCATCCTTATATTCTATGTACTGGGGAATGAACACAGAGTCTTGTATATGGTAAGCAGGTACTCTACCACTGGGCTAGCCTCCAAGGCCTAGATTTTCTTTCTTCTTTCTTTCTTTCTTTCTTTCTTTCTTTCTTTCTTTCTTTCTTTC